AAGAAGAAAAAAGGCATCCAAACGAAAGGAGGATATAAAACTCATTGGTAGATGACATGATATTGTACATAGAAAACACTAAAGACTCCACTAAAAAACTACTAGGTTTAATAGGTGAATTTGGCAATGTAGCAGGATGCAAAATTAACACCCAGAAATCAATGGCATTTTTGTACACCAATAATGAATTTTCAGAAAATACACTAAAGAAACAATCCCATTTGCCATTGCAAGAAAAAAATTAGGACACTTAGGAATACACTTAACCAAGAGGTTAAAGACTTGTGCTCAGAAAACTACAGAATGTTGGAAAAAAGAAGATATAAACAAATGGAAGAATATACCATGTTCATGGATTGGTAGAATTAACATCTTTAAAATGTTCATACTACCCAAAGCAATCTATAGATTTAATGCAACCCCTATTAAAATACCAACAATATATTTCACAGATATAGAACAAGGAGTCCAAAAATTCATATGAAACCAAAAAAGAACCTGAATAACTGCAGCAATCTTGAGAAAGAAAAACAAAGTTAGAGGGAGCACAGTACCAAATATCAAGCTATACTACAAAGCCACTCTAATCAAAACAGCCTGGTACTGGCACAAGAACAGGCACATAGATAAATGGAGTAGAACAGAAAACTCAGAAATCTACCTAAGCCATTATACTCAATATTTGACAAAGGAGGCAAGAGCATACAATGAAGTCAAGACAGTTTCTTCAATAAGTGGTGTTGGAATAATTGGACAGGTACATGCAAAAAAATGAAACTGGACCACAAACACCATACACAGCAATATGTTTACAGATACATCTAGGGCAAGGAAACAGAAAATTAACAAACGGGACTACATCTAAATACAAATCTGCATGGCAAAAGAAACCAACAAAATGAGAAAGGAGTCCACTGTATGGGAGAACATATTTGGCAATGATAACATCTGATAAAGGGTAATATCCAAAAATATATATGGAACTCCTACAACTTAAAAGGAAGACAATCCAATTAAACAATGGGCAAAGGACCTAAATAGACACTTCTCCAAAGTGGACATACACATGGCCAAGAGACATGAAAAAATGCTCAAAGTCACTGATCATCAGAGAGATGCAAATTAAAATGACAATGAAGTATCACTTCACACCTGTCAGAATGGCTACCATCAATAAATCAACAAATGACAAGTGCTGGTGAGGATGTGGAGAAAAAGGAACCCTAGTACACTGCTGGTGGAGTGCAGACTGGTGCAGCCATTAGGGAAAACAGTATGGATTTTCTCAAAAAAATTAAATATGGAACTGCCATTTGACCCAGTGATCCCACTTCTAGGAATATATCCTAAGAAACCGGAAACACCACTCAGAATGAATGTATGCACCCCTATGTTCATAGCAGCACAATTTATAATAGCTAAGATCTGGAAACAGACCAAATGTCCATCAATAAACAAGTAGATTAAAAAAGCTGTAGCACATTTCCACTATGGAGGGACCTGGAGAATATCATGCTAAGTGAAATAAGTCAGAAAAAGGCAAGTATCACAGGATCTCATATGTGGAATCTATAACAAAATAAACTGATGAACTAAGTAGATCCAGAGACATGGAAGCATGGAACAGAGTGTGGAATCTGAGGGAAAGCAGGGGAGGATGAGGATGGGTGAGTGGGAGGTAATCAACCAAAGACCTTGTATGCATATATGCATATCCATGGACACAGATAATAGGGTGGTGAAGTCCTGGGGTACAGGGCAGGGGTGGGCTGGAGGGAGTCAATGGGGGAAAAAAGGTAACATATGTAATACTTTCAACGATAAAGATTAAAAAAACAAAAACTAGAAGGCAGCCCAGCCTGGTGGCTCAATGGTTGAGTATGACCTATGAACTAGGAGGTCATGGTTTGATGCCCGGTCAGGGCACATGCCCAGGTTCTGGGCTCGATCCACAGTTGTGGATGTACAGTAAGAGCCGTTCAATTATTCTCTCTCAGCATTGATGTTTCTGTCTCTCTTCCCCTCTCCCTTCCTCTCTGAAATCAATAAAAAAAATATTTTTTAAAAATAAAAAATAAAGTAACCACTTAAAAGAGGCGCAGATAAGAAGCCAGTTGTGGATATAGAATGGAATGATAATAAAAACTCAATCCAAAAGAAGTCAGAAAAGAAGGAAAAAAAGGAAAAGGACAGATAGAACGAATGCAAAATAAAAAGCTGATAGACCTTAAACTCAACCATATCAAAATAATTTTATTAAACACAATCCAAAGGCAATTTATCAGATCATGGGGGAGAAAAAAACAACAATGTGCTGTTTGCAAGAAAAAAACATGCTGTATATTAAGACACTAATAGGTTAAAAGCAAAAAGATGGGAAAAACATACCACAAGAACACTAATCAAAAGAATGTATTAAGCCCTAGCTGGTTTGGCTCAGTGGATAGAGCGTCAGCCTGTGGACCAAAGGGTTCCAGGTTTGATTCCGGTCAAGGGCATGTACCTTGGTCAGGGCTCCTGCAGGAGGCAAGCAATTGATGTGTTTCTCTCACATTGATATTTCTCTCTCTCTTTCCCTCTCTCTTCCACTCTCCCTAAAAATCAATGGACAAATATCCACAGGTGAGAATTTAAAAAGAAAAGAAAAAGAAAAACAAACAAACAAAACTACAATACTTGGAAGTTTGTGGGATGCAGTTAAAGCAATGTGCAGAAAGAAGGAATAAAATGGATTATCTACCTTTCCATCTTAAGAAGCTAGGAACAGAGGAGCAAATAAAATCCAAAACTGGTTCTTTGAAAAGATTAATAAAGTTGATAAACTCTTAGTAAGATTTAGCAAGAAGACAGAAGGAGAGAAACTACCGACATCAGGAATCAATAAGTGGACATATTACAGCTCTTACAGAGGCCTCTTCCTGGTGCCCCCACCTCCATCCCCAAGGTAACTGTCAGCCACTTCTGAGACTTGGACTAGCCAGGCCTCATGGTCTAGTCACCTGCAATTTCAAGTGAGGGACTTCCTGGCCCCTTGACCACGTTAATCATTGTGCTGCGCTGCCCAGATAGCCTGGGATGGCATTCCCGCAGTGGCTTCCAAGTTGGGGGTCTGCTGAATGCTACACCAACAGCCTTCTGTGGGCACGGAGACCCAGGCCCAGCCAGGCCCCCCTCTCCTTTCTCAGCACTGGTTTCCTCTGTCACTTCGGTCCGAGTCAGATGGAAGAGGCGGACCCCGAGGGACAGGGGAACACTGCTGTTTTCCAGAAGATGTCTTGTGGAGGGAAGCCTGGACACTTCCTGGAGGAAGTGGCATTTAAGCTGAGCTGGTGGAAGCTGGTAGATGGGCAAGGGCACGGTATGTTAGCTGACATAGCAGGAGGAGGGGCACAGCTTAACTTCCCTGAACTTTGTCCTGAGGGCCAGGGAGTCAGTGGGGCTTTCGCCAAGGGCATGACCTGGCCAGCTCCACGACTAAGGAATGCTACTCTCTGGGAAGGGAGGAGGATTGAGTGAAGTGGGAGAAACTGGGGCAGGGAGCCCAGGGAAGGGGCTGGGTAGGGGTCCAGGGTTTGAGCCAGGCTCCAGATCCAATATTGCCCATTTCTGCCCTCCCCTTCCACCACTACTCTCACCTGCAGGGAAGTGGTGAAAGGCTTTTGGGGGGACAGCAGGACCCCATCTCCTTGGAGAGGATGGTGAGCCTGGAGCTGAGGCTCCTGTAAGCTGCCCTCTTCAGGGGGTCCTGACTAGGGCAAAGCAGCAGGGTGTGGGTCCCCTTCTCCCTCCCCTCAGGGCACAGATGGAGGCTTTGTTCCTTAGCGCCCGGAGGACACTAGTTCCAACAGAACCTGTACTGACGTGCAGGCAGCATAGCCACAGTTACTGTGGACAGGCAAGGCCACGGGATAGGGAGCTGGCAGGGCGGCCACAGGGCTGCACTATCCAGGCTGGACCCTGTCGGACCTGTGACAGAGATTCTAAGTCAGTGCTAAGTGGGTAGGAGAACCAGAGGTCCTTTGCTCAGTCCTGTACCCAGAAGGTACCAGCACTAGCATTTTCTCAGAGGGGCCTAGAAGGGCATCTAAGGGCTTGGGGCAGGGGCTCCATCTTCCCCACCTGTCCTGCTCCCTGGGAGGTATGACTTCCTGTCCCCCTGGCTTGTGGCCCTGAGCTATATTCATGGGAGGCCTGAGGCCAGGCTCTTCTTAGCCTCCATATTGTTCCCTAGTTTGAACCCTACCCATGGCTCCTCAGAGGAAGCCCAGACTCCTCAGGGTGGTCACTCCAGCCCCATGCAGCCCGTCTCACTTCCACACCTCCCGTGGGAGCATCTCCAGCTGTGGAAGTGAGCCTCACCCCCTTCCTCTGCCAGGGACTCACTCCTTCAGAATCCCTCCCTTCATCCCACCCCCGCACCAGGCCATCTGTGTCCCCGATGTTTGACCAGTGGGTTTGTGCCTGCGCTATGTGGGTGCAGACATCAGTGAAATAAAATTGGAAATTCACTTACAAGCCTTGTGACTCCTTTTTTCAGACATAACTAAGTGCGGGTGGGGACCTGGGGAACATCAGCCTGTTCTGAGCCCTGCCCACCCTTCCAGCATCGGCCTGCACCTGTTCCTTGCTCTCTCTATGCTAGCTAGCCACAGTGGCTGCCTTTCAGTCAGCCTCCTTTCAGCCTCAGGGCCTTTGCACCTGCTGTTCCTCTGTCTGGAATTCTTCTACATCCTTCCTATACATAGATAACACCTATTCCTCCTTTCCCTAGAAAAACCTTCTCTGACCTCCCTGTTTAGGTCAAATGCTCCTGAAGATATGCCCTCTCGCTGTGTCTTTTCCCGTGAGGACCTGTCAAAACTGTAACTCTACTATGTCCATCTCTCTCGCCCTCGCCTATGAGCTCTGCAAAGGCAGGAACCCTGTCTGGTTTGGCCAATGATTCTATTCTCTGGCCCCCAGCAGTTCCTGGGGTCCAGTAAGTGCTCAGCAAATTTTTGGTGAGTGAAGGGATGGGCGAATGGCTCAGTTCCTGGCTGAGCCTGTCAAGTGATTTCTCTGGGAGTGACTCAGAGAAACTCCAAGGAACTGAGGACTGACTTCCATGTGCGATGTTTACCCAGCTCTATGTCTTTATTAAGAATCTGATTCCTCTTTGTCCCTCCCCCCCTTCTCTATTGCCGGTTCACAGACTCAGCCCCCCACCTGGCAGAAATGCCACACCCCAAACACCTGCTTTCATCTTCCTGCCTCCACCCACAGTGTCCCTGTGCCCGCAGGTGCGGCCACACCTGCTGGTCAGAGTCACCGGGGCTCCGGAAGAGGAAGAAGCCGCCACCTGGTGGCCCTTCGGTAGAAATAAGCAGCTCCTACCTCCTGGGCACGGCAGAGGCGTGGGCTCTGTGCCTTCAACCGCGCGGGTGCAGGGCTTCCCAAGCCGACAGGAGGGAGGTCACTCGCCGAGTCATGGAGCTGAGAAGCAGCGGTGCCCGGAGAGACGGCTCCAGGACTCAGGGCTCTAGCAGGCTGTTCGCCTGGAAGCGGGCACCCTACTGACGGTTTGTAGCGGCAGAAGCTCCCCTGTAGGTGAGCAGGACAAGCTGGGAGACGACTCCCATTCGTCACAACAGGAATCTGAAGCCCAGCGGGGCCCCAGGAGGCAGAAGGCCGGCGGGCCAGACGCAGACCCCGGAGCGCAGAGCAGGATCCCTGCTCCCTTCATGGCGCCTGCGCACTGCGGCCCCGCTCCCCGCTTAGCCCCGCCCCCACCGCCTGGGTTTTCAAATTTGAAACCAGCTCCTTTTCCCGCCCGAATGTGTGGACCAGCGGCGAGAGAGGGCGGGGTAGCGCGCAGCCAATAGCGTCTCGGAGGCTCCCAGGCCCCGCCCCGAAGGTGACGACAGCGAGCCGCCCGACACGACCCGCCAATGGGCGAAGGCACTCGCCGTGTCTCGGCGGCGCCCACGTGCAGCTGCTGGGCTGGGGGCCTCCGGAGACGACAGGCTCCTAGAGCCGCGTTCTCTATGCCGGGCCCTCGCCACCAGCACGTGTTGGGAACTGAGGCCCAGGGACGCCACATAGCTAGTGCGGGGTCGCTGAGCAGAGCGGGCGGGAGACATCACCTCCCGGCCTGAGGGTTTGCCCCAGGGCCGAGCCTGGAGCGGGCGTCCCTATCGATACCGCGGGAGTCCGAGGGGGCGGGCAGCTCGCGGTGGGGGTGGGTGGGCCGGTTCCAGAGGGGCGGGGCCAAGAGCGGGGCCGTCCGGCGGGCGGGGCGTCCGGGGGCGGGGCTGGGCGCCTGTGTTTGTTGCACCGTGTCAGTTACATTGTAACAAAAGTGCTGCCGCTCCTCCAGTTCGCACTCAGGCCCGCCCGCCGCCAGCTGTCGCCGACATGGAATCCGTGGCCAGCAACATCCAGGTCCTGCTGCAGGCGGCCGAGTTCCTGGAACGCCGCGAGAGAGGTGAGGCAGAACCCTTGGTTGGACCCCAGGCGGCGACCTTGCTGACACGGGCCTGGGTTAGACTTGGCTCCCAACTTGGAGGATGCATACCTGGCTTTAATGCAGTAGTCCCGGGGCACCCCCATCTTAAAATGGAGAGGAGTCCTCGGTCGGTCGGGCTGGCGGGTGTTGGGGATATGGTCCTGGCGCCCAAAGCCTTCGCTGACCGTGCCATGCCAGGGGCGCCCGCTGGGGCCAGCTCCAGCCTGACGCCGACACGGGCTCTCTCTGGCAGAGGCTGAGCACGGATACGCGTCCCTGTTCCCGCACCGAAGTCCAGGCCCCGTCCACAGAAAGAGGAAGGGATCCCCCCAAGCTCTTGGCGCGTTGGACAGTGGGCGGTGAGGAGGGCGAGGGGCGACGGGGAGGGGGGATGGGCGCTGTCCCTCCTCGGGCCCCTCCTCAGCCCACTTCCTCCTTGTTGCTTGCGCCTTCTGGGCCAGGTACCTATTCTGGAGACATTCAAACCCCTCCCCTTCCACCAAACACACCCCTCTATTCATTCAAAGACTATTTCTTGAGCTCCCCTGATGTGAACAAGGCAGTTCTGGGTCCGGCTTCCACTCACACTCCTATACTCCACCTATCACATCACTCACTTTTCCCCCCAGGCTTCCTCCTTTTCTCTCTTCATCTCCACCCTTTACACAAGCTGTTTCCTCCAATTTGAGTGTCTTTCTCCACTACCTGCTTTCAGTAACCTGTGTTTCTGGCTCAGCTCAACTGTCACCTCTGTTTGCACTCCACAGCTACCTGGCAGGCCTCTTTCAGCATTTGCCCCCCAGCCCCACCCCCTACCAGCTCCCCATGAGTCTCTGCCTCCACCTGGCAACTCAGGTGCCCGAGGCCAGCACAAGGTTGCCATACTGCACTAGATTGGGGCAGAGATCTGCAGTGGATTTCGAGCCTCTGGGAACCTGGGACTGAGGGTGTGGGCAGCAACTGATGGCCCCTCACCCCATCCTCTCTGGCATTGGCAGGTCTGTGCACAACGAGCTGGAGAAGCGCAGGTGAGTCCCAGCCATGCCCTGACAGCATTGGGCCTCAGGGACTGTCTTCCTCTGGTCTTCCCTCCCCTGTCAGCCCTCAAGCTAGCAAGGCTGGGCTGGCACTGCCCTTCAGACCCCTTCCCCTGCAGGAGGGCCCAGCTGAAGCAGTGCCTGGAGCAGCTGAAGCAGCAGATGCCCCTGGGGGCTGACTGTGCCCGATACACCACACTGAGCCTTCTGCGCCGGGCCAGGATGCACATCCAGGTAGGGAGCTACCTCTGCACCCAGGAGCCAGGTTACCAGGACATGTGGAGAGGTGAAGCAGGGAAGGGCTCGGGGAGAGGGGCCCATTGTGCTTAATTTTGTTAAATGGGAAGAAAAGCAAAAAATAACTCAGGATTTATTGGGCAAATGATGTTAAGCTTCATTTGCCCAATAAATGTTCACTGTTGTTGTTACAGCTATTACTACTTCTATTTCAACTGTGAGGCTCTGGGCCAGGCACTTAACCTCTCTGGACTTCCTTTCCTCCTCTGTATGGGGAGGCATGCCTATTGAAGATAACGTGATGGGTCATGTGTAAGGGTCCCTTAGACTGTAGAGGACTGGTCCTCGCTCTTCCTCTCCCCATCCTTCAAGGTCTCCTGTTCTGGGCAGTCTGTTCTGAAGCCACTTTGGGAGGTAGCTCCAGAGGCCAGGAAGCCTAAAGGACTGGGGATGGCAGTCACCATTTTCCTGGGGCTCTTGCTGCTGCCCCCTGGCGGACATGGGTAGTGTGTGCAGAGTCAAAGCCCCAGGCAGGCCGAAACCGGTTTGGCTCAATGGATAGAGCGTCGGCCTGCGGACTGAAAGGTCCCAGGTTCGATTCGGGTCATAGGGCATGTACCTGGGTTGCGGGCACATCCCCAGTAGGAGATGTGCAGGAGTTAGCTGATCGATGTTTCTCTCTCATCGATGTTTCTAACTCTCTATCTCTCTCCCTTCCTCTCTGTAAAAAATCAATAAAATATATTAAAAAAAAAAAAAAAAAGCCCCAGGCAGCCCCGGAGAGGGGATTAGGAGGGGCCTTGGAAATAGAAGAGGCCTTTCTTGCCCTCTCGGTTCTTCAGACAGAGGAAGAAATGGAGGGACAGATTCAGAACCCAGGCCCAGGTCCCCTGACTTGCATTCTTTCCTTCAAGAAGTACTGAGCACCTGCTCTGCTAGGCCATTCTAGGTATCTGGGCTGTGACAGACGGATATGCCATGTAGTAAATAAATCACAGTGTGGGAACTGTCTGCACTGTCCCAGAGGTGCCTGCATTCCCCTCATGGTGCCTGAGTAACACCTTAGCTCAGTGGTCGCGAGACTCATACGGCTCTTTGGTCCCTTGAGTGTGGCTCTTCCACAAAATACCACGTGTGGGCGTGCACGTACAGTGTGATCGAAACTTCGTGGCCCATGCGCAGAAGTTGGTTTTCGGCCTGGGCGAGTCTATTTTGAAGAAGTGGCGTTAGAAGAAGTGAGGGGTGGACATATAGAGAGGATGAATGAAAGGAGATAGACGAAACAAGTATGCAAGACGAGTGTGGATGGGAGAGTTGGAAGGGGTCGACCTCAGCGAACGTACCTCAATCAGATTGAGGACGTTTTTAGCAAAGGCCAGCTTAGGAGTACCCTAATTAATTAATAACAATGTACCTACCTATATAGTTTAAGTTTAAAAAATTTGGCTCTCAAAAGAAATTTCAATCGTTGTAATGTTGATATTCGGCTCTGTTGACTAATGAGTGTGCCGACCACTGGCCCTAGCTGAACAGCAGCCTGTTTCTCATGTGGGGCTCGCCTGGCCTGCATCTTGGAGGGATGGTATGCCCCTCAAGTGCAGACTGGGCAGGACCTGTGGATTGCTCCTTCCTGAAGCCCCATCACCTCGCCCTGTACTCCCTGTATCCTGTTCCGCTTGCGCCTTGCCTTAGGATTTCTTTGCTGCACATAGATCTGTCCAGGTGCCTTTTCTGCTGAAAACCTTTCATGGCTCCTGACAGGATAGTCTTAGTCCTTACTTCCTGTGAACTCAAGGCCCTTCACCACTCAACTGCTGCCACTGGCTGCTTTTGTAGTCTCATCCCCTCCCTGTTCCCCACCAAGAGCTGAATTCTTGGTGCTCTTCCTGGCCTCCCTCTGCCTGAGTGCTTCTCCTCCCCCATCTTCACCTGAGCAGCTGTCACTCATCCTTCCACACCCAGTCCCAATGTCCTTCCCCATGCTCTCCTTGTTGACTGCAGGCTCCTGCCCACCGAGGGCTCTGATGGGAGAACTCTTTTTTTTTTTTTTTAAATATATTTTATTTTTTACAGAGGAAGGGAGAGAGATAGAGAGTTAGAAACATCGATGAGAGAGAAACATCGATCAGCTGCCTCCTGCACATCTCCACTGGGGATGTGCCCGCAACCCAGGCACATGTCCTTGACCGGAATCAAACCTGGGACCTTTCAGTCCGCAGGCTGACGCTCTATCCACTGAGCCAAACCGGTTTCGGCTGATGGGAGAACGCTTGGTCTTTGAGTTCCTAGTACTCGGGGCTGGCAGAGCTCTGGTAGGGGTGGTGGGGAAGAGGGGGCAAATTAATGATGGAAAAGCCTTAGGGTTCCTAGGAAGGTCTTGACCAGGAGTTACAAACTGGTAGCTTTTGTTTAGTCTACAGTTTCCTAAAAGTTTAGCTACTTGGCAGCACTTAAGAGGACATTTGACATGAAAAATCTGACTTTCCAGCTCTCTTAAAGACACCGAGAGATCGGACCACACTGGGCCTCTTTCCATGTGATTGATTGGAACCTGGAGGTGGCTGCCTCCTTCAGCTGGAGTTCACACTTGCCATCATGTCACAGCCCCTGCCACACCCCATCCCTGTTGCTTGATACCAGCACTCATCACTCCACATCTCCTATCTAGGCCCCACCTGACTAAACCCTGACGTTCTCTTGAGATTGCGCTGCCCTCCCTCCCCTGCCCAGCTAGACAGAACTCACGGGCCATTTACATGGGACAGAAAGGCCCGATTCCCTGGAGGATGTGGAGGTAACCCTTGGAGCCCAGGTTTAGTGAGCCTCTGTCTGGAACAGTCACCAAGTGGCCATGACCTGCTGCTGAGTTATGCTGGGTTGAGGCCCAGGCCCCAGGCAGCTGACCCCAGCCCTTTGCTCCTCTGGAATCCACAGAAGCTGGAGGAGCAGGAGCAGCGGGCCCAGAGGCTCAAGGAGCAGCTGCGCAGCAAGCAGCAGAGCCTGCAGCAGCAGCTGGAGCAGCTCCGGGCGCCGGCGGGGGCTGGTGAACGGGAGCGGCTGCGGGCAGATAGCCTGGACTCCTCAGGCCTCTCCTCTGAGCGTTCTGACTCAGACCAAGGTGAGTGTCCTGAAGCGGAGGGTGGGGTGGGCCGGTGGGCCAGGTCTCCTGACTAGACCTGTCCCTGTGCAGAGGAGCTGGAGGTGGACGTGGAGAGCGTGGTGTTCGGGGGTGAGGCCGAGCTGCTGCGGGGCTTCAGTGCGGGCCAGGAGCACAGCTACTCACACAGCGGCGCCTGGCTATGACCCTTGCCACCCCGGAGCGTGCCTCTGCCCTCAGACCACCTCTGCTCCACTCAGCCGGGCAGGAGCCCTCCCCAAGCCTCAAGGGCTGCTCAGTCACCTCCTGTTGGAATGGACTAAAAGGACCTTGGTGTGGGAGCCCGTGTTCCTCCTGCCCCTCCGCTGGCTGCTGCAGTGCCTCCGGGGGGAGAGGGGAGAGAGGAGGGGGCCTGGCCTCCCCTGAGCCCAGCACGACAGGCAGCTTAGGCCTGGGCCACCCTTCCAGGCCTTTTTTGTAGCACTTGGTTCTGTTGTCCCCACAGGGACAGGAAGCCTCTTGGGCCCATCTCCACATTTCTTCCTAGACAAGGCCCCCTGGCCTTTGCCCCATAGATACTGTACAGTGTTTTCATTAAAAGGCTTTCATCATTTCCTGCCCATGGTCTTGCCTGATGAAAATGGGGAAACTCCAGCCACAAAATGGGAAAGAGGAAATGAGATCAGTCACTACAACTAACACTGTTGACTGCCGCAGTGCCCCTTTAATCCTCACAGCTAAGCCGTCTTTCCCCACTTTGCAGGTGGGACTGAGGCCAAGTGATAGGACTTGCCTGAGGCCCAAAGCCAAGATATAGTGGAGTCAAGATTCGAACCAAAGCTTTCCGACTCCACAGCCAGGGCTGATTGAATTCAACAAATATTTATTGAGTGTCTATTATGAGCTAGATATTGTTCCAGATACTTGGGATGCAGCAGAGAACAAAACGAAGGTCCCTGCCCTCATGGAGCTTACAGTCTAGTGTTTATGACCACTTTGCCTGAATGCTGTCCATGACCCTGGGCAAATCTCTCCTCAGCTATCCAATGCAGGAAGAAGCAGGCCTGGTTCAGATACGGATAACAGGTCTGATGCACTGTAGATGCCAAACAGATACCACCTCCAACCCAATACCCAGAGAGTAGATCAGGCTGGAAGTTGACTTTTAATAATAAAATACAGGGGGAGGGCAGAGGGAGTGCAGCAGGTGGTGTGGTGTGCTGCCACACAGGGTCTGCACTGGCTACACGAACTGCTGCTGCTGCTGCTGCTTCTTGGTGGCTGCCTTGCTGGCAAGGTCCTTGGCCTTCTCTGTAGCTGCCAGTGCCGTCTCCTTTGCCTTCTCCTTGGCTTCCTTGGCTGTCTCAACAAGGGTTTTGGAAGGGGCCTCACCTGCAGCAAAGGGCAGGAGGCTGGCTTGAGAGGATGCCAAGAAGACCCACCTAATCGCTGCCTACAGCATTCACTTCCTGCAAGCCAGGCACCATCGGGAAGGCGGTATTTGCCCAGGAGCAGATGAGGAGTCCCAGGCTTAGAGAGGAGCAGTGACAGCCCCAGGTTCCACACCAGTCAGGGCACCTAGGACTTGACCCCGACCTGTGCCTGGGAGGTTCTCACCTTGCAGCTTGGCCAAGATGTACTCAAAACCCTTCATTGACTTGGTCACATTGCTTTTGAACCGGGCGAGACCAAATTCCTGGCAAAAGATGAGAAGGGGAAGGATTCTGAGCTGCCCACTGACCCCCAGCCCAGTCTCTATGTCAAATGCCCTGGGCCTCAGAGCCCGAGCACTCTCACAGTGCTGCTCACCTGGACAGCTCTGGAGACGCCAAATAAGCTAGAGGAGACCCAAGCTTCCCGGTGGATTTCGGTCCAGCCGCTGTTATCAGAGTTCACACAGTAAACACATCGTTCCTCCACCACCTGTGCAGGGAGTCAGGCCAACCACAATTGTGTGGGAGTCTTTCAATTTGCCAACTTCACATAAATTTGATCTCCTGCCTCTTTTCACGAGGTAGAATAAAATGAAAATCCATTCATTTCCCTGAATGCACCCCAAGCTGCATTTACAGAAGAACAAGAACATTAAGGTCACTGTGCTCTCTCTAATCTTTCCTCTGACCCTTTAAACTAGAAGGCACATGGAATAGCAGAGGGTCTTCCAGCTCATCCTGCCCCTGGATTTGGTTTTATAGCTTTGCCTGGTCATGAGTAGAGTTTTCAGCCTGTCTTCCACCTGTTGCAGCTCTTGAGCTCATTGGAAGTCCAAATAAAAATGGAAATCTGGCAATTGTCACAGCTCTCATGAGAGAGGAAAAAGTAGATCGGTACTTCCAATAGAAACCTTCAAAGACCTGTCTCACAGCTGGACTGAAAGACATTTCTCACAGCAGGACCACTCTCTTGGTAACAGAAAACAGAGGTAGTGCCCTCAGGGAAGTATGCTGGGGGGCAGTGTATTAAGTTGCCAGCTCATTCTGTAGCCTTGTAGGACACTTGCCCTCTTTGAACCTAACTTTTCTCTTTGCACAAGAGTTATGCCCCCCCCCCCCCCCGGGTTACTGTGAAGATTAAGTGAGAAAGAGAATGTAAGTTTTCTGAAAGCTTCAGGATATTCATACGTGAGAAGAAATTGTAGAGTGTTCCTTAAACCAGCGGTTGCCAACCGGTGGCCCGTGAGGTCCGAAAGGTTGGCAACTGCTGCCTAATTTAAAACATATTTTCAAGTGTTTTTGTTTTCTTAAATTAATTTTATTGGGGTGACATTGGTTAACATGAACATACAGGTTTCAGGTGTGGGTTTCTAGGTTATAAGATCTGTATATTGCACCTTGTGCCCATCACCCATCAAGTTTTAAAGACAAGAGAACAAAGGTATATAGAACCTCTTTCCCCTAGACTCTTAGACAGAAATCCATGATGTAAGACACATAAGAGTGTTACTCCTTTAGTCACGTGGGGTACAGGCCCAGATCCGCTCCCTTCTGAGGCACACCCAAGGCACCCTCATGGCTTGATGGGTTCCTGTTTGAAAGCCACTGCCTCCCTCCCTCCGCATCACTGGCTCCCTAGCCATACCTATCTGGAGCTCTGAGGGACCAAGGGAGTCTCACCATCAGCCGGGCGTGGTTGATGTTCCAGGTGAAGGTGGTCATGGTCTGGTTCTGTGGGTCCACAATAGAATCCTCCAGGATGTACACCGAGTGAGCGACATTGGCAGGAAACAGTCGCTCGGCCCAGCGGGGCATCCTGTTGGTCTTGGTCAGGAGTCTCCGGGACAGGAGCTTCTGGTCAGGGGTCACCTCCCGGTGCACTATGTCTTCCGTCAAGACATGTTTGCTGCAGGTGTCAGGAGGAAGGTGACCCTCAGGAGCCTGCCCTGAGCCTGCCTGCTGCGGTTCCCATCTCCAGCCTCCCGGCCCAGAATGGCCAGGCCTTCCCTCAGACTTGCAGTGATGTGTGTTGTGGCGCATTCCCTCGAACCTATCCCAGGGCAAATTCCGACTCCCGCCCTCTCCTTGACCTGGATTCCTGGGCTTTCCGGCGTGGCCGGCCTTCATGATTTATTGCACCTGCACCGCCGAAGCGAGCCACAGGCAGAGGAGGAGCGCGTCTGGAATTGCAACCCCAGGACCCCTCCCAATTCCTGTGCGGCCGCCTCTTCCTGTCTCGCCACCCAGAGAACCTTGGACTAGGGCCTCAAGGAAACCACCGCCCAGGCCCTCCTCCTTCCAGCACCTTGCAGGCCTGGCCACTTCCTCCAGAGGGTCCTCTGGCCTCCAAGGCGGCCACGGTTCCGGCCATCCCCTACCTCGGACTCGATGTGGAGTCCTTCCCGGTCCCACATTCCGATTTCCAAACGGCGAGGGGGCGGGGTTGCTCCTTCCTCGGCTACGTACCTGTAGGGATTCGGGTACCGCTGCCAGAAGGCAGCGAACACTTGGTCCCAGGAACTCCGGAGCACGCTGTGGCCCAGGAAATACTTCACCATTGTCCCGGCCGGGCGGGGTCAGCACCCGAGCAGCATCAGGGGTGCAGAGCCTGGGGGGCACGCGGAGGCCAGGCCGGGGCTCGGCGCACGCCCGCCAGGCACCAGTTCAGTCACCGCCCCACTGCAGCCCAACAGCAGCCGCCGCCATGAGGAGTTGTCGGGCCGCCCGCCACTTCCGGCGCAGACTCGCTGTACCCACCACTTCCGGCGCCTGAGCACGTGACCATCGGTCCCTCCCCTCTCCGCCCACTCCCCCTGCCGGAGCCGCGTCGCTGCAAGAAGACCTGGGCTGGAGCGGCCCCCCAGCTCGGTGGGGAGTCCGTCCGAGCCCGGCGGCGGAGTGCGGCGCCGTTGAGGGCGCTGCCCAGCACGCTCCCAGGCCGCCCGGGCCCTGGGCTCTTGGAAGGATCAGCGCCCGGGGCCGAAGAGCGGGGACAGGCGGGCGCTGCCGTAGCGCGAGCCCGACGTCGTGTCTGGAGCGGTAGTGACTGGGGCTTGGGCGCCGCCTGCCCGGGCGGAGATCCGGGTTTACCTAGCGCGGGGCCCAGGGCCCTGACGCGGGTGAGGCGGCCCGGAGAGCATGAGCGGGCAGCGCGTGGACGTCAAGGTGGTTATGCTGGGCAAGGAGTACGTGGGCAAGACGAGTCTGGTGGAGCGATACGTGCACGACCGCTTCCTGGTGGGGCCCTATCAGAACGTGAGTGCGCCTCGCGGGCCGGCGCGGGTGGGAGATAGCCCGCCCCCGCGATCCTGATCGCTTCCCCTGGTTGCAGACCATCGGAGCCGCCTTCGTGGCCAAGGTGATGTCTGTCGGAGACCGGACAGTGACTTTGGGTATTTGGGTAAGTCCCCTGGGCAGGTAGTCCTGGGAATATCCATTCTTAGGCTTAGTCCTGTCTATTCGTGTCTGATTTGTGGCCTTATAGAAGCAATTTCTCTTCTCTAGACCCCCGTTTAAAAATGGGGGTCTGGAGGACGTATTAGTTTGCAGTCTTGGGGAGAAGCTCAGTAACTCAGGCCAAGGCTGAGCTTCCCCCTGCCCTTCAGGACACAGCAGGCTCTGAGCGCTACGAGGCTATGAGTCGAATCTACTATCGAGGTGCCAAGGCTGCCATTGTCTGCTATGGTAAGGGAGGTTCTCATCTGCTCCTCAGACAAGGGGTGGGTGCCAGGCTGGCCTTAGCGACTAGCCCCCGACCTTTGGTTGTTTCCTGTCTGCCCTATACCAAGACCTCACAGACAGCAGCAGCTTTGAGCGGGCAAAGTTCTGGGTGAAGGAACTGCGAAACCTAGAGGAGGTAGGTGGCCAGACCTTACCAGAGAACCAGGGGCTGGGGCTCTGGTGGTCTGTGTGGATTACCCTGACCTCGTCTTCTGCTTCAGGGCTGTCAGATCTACCTGTGTGGCACCAAGAGTGACTTGCTGGAGGAGGACAGGCGGCGTCGACGTGTGGACTTCCATGATGTCCAGGACTATGCAGACAGTAGTTGCTTCTCAGTTGCTGGGGGTGGGGGAGGGAAGTGGCCGTTTGGGTGGGTTACAGAAAATAGGGACTGTTTGGCTACCATGGCCAGATCGCCTGGGAAAGCTTTCAGGCTTCCCTGAACCTGTGGGGTCCAGAAGACTTCCCCTTTGTCTACCCGATTCTCAGATACGAGGCTTTAGTCGCTTTTCTTTACAGATATCAAAGCTCAGCTCTTTGAAACATCCAGCAAGACAGGCCAGAGTGTGGGTGAGTGCTGTCCTGGGCCTCACAGCAGAACAGGCAGGGGCACCAGTGGAAGCAGAGCCTAGAGGGCTGTCACTGGGTGATCCCAGGGCTCCTGGCATTGCGCCTTCACTGATCGCCTTTTTTCCTGCCAGACGAGCTCTTCCAGAAAGTGGCAGAGGATTACGTCAGTGTGGCCGCCTTCCAGGTGATGACAGGTGTGTACTTCCCTAGCTTCTCTGGAGACTTCCTCTCGGCCCCTTTCACGTTTGTTACCTGATCCCCCAACAGAATGGTGCTGAGCTGCTACCTCTCTCTCTGACAGAGGACAAAGGCGTGGACCTGGGCCAGAAGGCAAACCCCTACTTCTACAGCTGTTGTCATCACTGAACCACCACTTACTTGGCCTGGGGGAATTAAAGGAACTCCCCAAGGGGCTGGACCTAGTTCTTGTCTGGGCTTGGGTGGTCAAACATGTAAGCTACCCCAGTCCCCATGGCAGCAGAGGTGGCACCTGTCTGTGCTGGCCCATGGAACGTGCAGCATTGGGCTGACTGATGGTCATCAGGAAGGTGAGGCTGATTTGGACTCCAGGCTTCTTCCCTGGACAGCACTGTGTCTGCAGATTACTTAAGTGGCTTCTGATTTGTAAATAAAATCAATGCACTGTGAATCACACTCAGCCCCTTTCTTAGGCCTCACTTCTAATATGTCTCCTCCCAGCCCTAATTTTCCTTTGGAACCCAAGTTAACTAAAGCCGAGGGTTGCAGCTGAGATAATGGAGAAACAAAAGAGCCTATTCTGTGCTTTAGGATGGTGAGAGGCTAGGATTGGGACAGAGCAGAACTCACAATTCCTTCTTGGTGCTAGGAAGAGCAAAGCAAGCACTTAAGTGCTGTCCAGAGATCAAAGGACCAAGCACTTCTTCCTCAGACTGGTTCTACCGCACCTGTCACATCATACCTCTGGCTCATCCTCAGCTTCCCATCAGCACCCTACAATGTGGTTTAATGGTAGAAATATCATAGTTACAATACACAAAATTCTTTTGGGTCCAAATTGGGATCTAATTCAGATACTTAGAAAAGGGACTTAAACTCAGCCTGAATTTGCCTGTAAAATGAGGTAACCACTGCCCAGTTGGGGACTGTGAAGATCATGAAGGAAACGTAACTTTGACTAAATGCTTATCTTCCCTGAAGGGCTTTTTGCTGAAGGGGCAGGAAGTTCAAGACTAGGTCGGAAGGGGAGGCAGACTCCAAGTTGCCTCAAATTTTATTTTTGGACCTTGGAGGACCAGGTGTTAACTGTCAACAGGGCTGACACTTACTATTCAACTAAAAGGAAGTATATAACAGCCCTTTCCTGTATGGAGGCTTGGCCCCTTTGTTTCTGCTTTCCTGCCTTAGACTGGGTCCTCTGTAGTACCCAGCACCTGCCTCTGAACTAAAAACTTGGCCAAGATGGTCAGACTCACACTCAGGAAGTCATTTGGTTCTACTTCCTTTTTAAAAACCAATTCCTCAAAATACCCTTACTTCATGGGTGATGACTTCCTTTATAGAGATGAAAACACCAGCCACTCCCAAAAGAAAGACATTCTGGCACCTAATGACTACTGAGGAAACCCATACCACTCCCATGAGGTGCTGGGAAAAGTGCTCAGCTCCACTGTGTCCCACCTGGGCGTTAGTGCAGGGGCTGGCTTCTGCTCTCACCCCAAACCCACCCTCCCTCCTGTTGAGCTACATCTTCCCATCGACAACAAAACACAACACAGGGCAAGGGCCATAAGAGTAAAGTTAAACTTTACTTTACAGTAATTTTTTTCTATATACAAAGAATTACAGTACATGTTTATGGGGACTCCTAGCACAGGGCTCCCCTCTTTTCCACTAAAAGTTTCACTTACAGCTGACAATCTATGGGGGTGAGGAGCAAAAAAAAAAAAAAAAAAAGTGATGGACCTCAGCTGTTCCCCCCACACCCCTTTTCTTAAAAATATAAAGATAGATCTCTAGTGTCAGCTTGTTTCTTAGCCAAGACTTTGAAATCTGCTCTTCCATGAGCTGCTGTGTGCTGCACTCACCCATCTTCTACACACTCTCACCTACATGCACACACAGGCAGCACCCACCTCAGACCTGGTGACCACCTATTTATTCTGTGCCCCTCCTTTGGGAGTCTAAAGCACCACAACCATTCATTTCTGTTCCTACTCCCTGGGCTCTCCTCCTGTCCACCAAGCTTTGCTCAACTTCCAGAGTGTTACACCTGAAGCCCCTCAATAGCCTGATGTTTGGGAAGTCATGGGAAAGCAGCTCTAGAGAAGGAACCGCTTAAGAATTTAACATGTGCTGTGTTTTGCTTATGTTGATAGGAAACATTTCTTTCCAGGCTGTAGATTTCTAATTAAACTTTCCACTTCCTTAAGAAAGAATACCTTTAATCTTCATAAGCAATAGAGGTTCCCTCGAGAGTGAAAGAGGTAGAGAGGGGCAGAAGGTAACTGAGGGAGATCCCATACCTGGAGCTCTCTACCAACCAGAGGCTATGGACAAGGTGACACCAGCCCTGAAAAACTCAATGGCCACCCTCACCTGGACATGGCATCTCTTCCATCTCTGGGTTGCAGTGGACCACTCCAGGATTGGGTACAGGCTTCACCGAGACTCTGCCCTCCTCTTAACAGCTTCAAAGAACTGTTCTACATAAAAATCTTTTCCTCCCAAACAGGAACTTGGGTTTCTCAAGTCACCAGTTCCTCAACCCTTGGCAGTGCTTATTTATACCAGGAAATTAGCACCATCATTACATTTGTGTGTGTGTACAAAGCAATTATCTATTCTTATTTCAATTTATACTACAGCAATCTGGCCCTAGGAAGTTCAGCTGAGAGCTAACTGGCCACAGCCAAGGAAAGTCTCATGCGGCTACCTAGTTGTAAATGATGTGGAATGTCCAAAACATGGAACAGCCTAAACATTATTTAGTAGCAAAGGGACTTGTGGCAGCTCCCTTCCTGCCGCGATCTCAGAGAGGTTACAACATTGGGCCACTCTGACAAACCCCAAGATGACAATATCCCCCATAAAAGCCTTAGGAGAAAAACCGTTTTGAAGGAGCTGAGGCCAACATCTGTCCATGTTTAGTGCTCTCCTAATTCCTCCACAGGGGAAGCTGCCTGGACCAGACTTCCTGCCAGTGTTCTCACAGGCGACCTGGGAGTCCAGCTCCAGTGAGTAGATGCTGCCAAACCTGTGAAGAATCACTGATGCACTTCATGCCCTGACTGTGGTGTGGGGTAGAGGATATGAAGAATACAATTATTTTCTTCAGTGCCAAAGATGTAGGTTTGGTAGTTGTTCAGAAGAGGATCAACATAGTGATTTAAATCACCTCAAACTCAGTAACTTTAGGGAGACACAGACATTAGAAAACTTGGATGATTTTGTAGCAATGAGAGCTATTTGCTATCACAATGGGTTGGCTTCAGTAGGAGAAGCAAAGAGGCTTTGAATTTAAACAGTATATATATATATTGTTTTTTTCCTGACTTAACAGGGCTAGGAGAGGTATTTGTTCTCTAGCTACCTATGGAAGCTATGGCTTCCCCCTGGAAAAGGCTTCCTGGGAAAGTGGCTTAGAGGCATATTCTCGAGATCCCGGTTTCCAAGCACTTAGCCAAATACCAAAAATACCATCCTGCATAAAGATCAGGAATGTCTAAGAGAAAAGATTACCTTTTAACTTCCAACTCGCAATCCTTGGAGAAAAGGTCTTAGCACAGGCTCCAGGAGCGTCCTCAAGGGTAGTCACTCCCAGCATCATGCAATATCAGTTCCCAACAGTCCTGATTGTGCTTCTAATTGTACAGTGACTGCTTTCATGATTAGATGTTAATAATCTAGAATGAGATGCTGAGATCAGGGGGCCTCACAGTTGAATTTCTAGGTTCCATTCAAGCTGGGAGTCTTTCCAAATGGCACCCAGGAAAGCCTGGCACTCCATCCATTTAGATAAAGAACTGCCTCCTACCCCGTAAACCAAGCATAACTCAATTGTTTTCCCAGGCAGGTCTGGAAGGAAGTATTCAGTGAGTGGTGGAAAATGGAAAGGACCAAAACAAACCCTTTATAAAGTGGTCAACCATGGCCCACCTTTCCCTCACTCCTTCCTGTCCCATGAGACATGTCTAGAGTGGCTGTCAAGAAAATTACCTACCAAAGCCTACTTCAGAGAAGCTATTTTAGGATCGAACTTCTCCATTTACAAATTTTTACAAAGCCTGCACAACCCCCCACCACAAAAAAAATTCACAGTTTATTCCATTAAACAAAGAACTACGGTAATTTAACACACAACATAGTGAAAGGAGATTCTGACAGTGCAGTGTGGATACTTTTTCTGATCGCAACTACAGATGACAGGAGAGAAAAGGGCACAGTACTGGCACCAAGCAAACCCTACTCGTACAACCTAAGAGATTAGGGGAAAAGACCTACTAGCTGCAGTTATATACTTATTATTCTCACACATGATAAATACTTAATATAATGAACTTTAACGTTCTGGGTGGATTTCTTTAAAAATATCTTTTCCATGGTTTAAAATTTTTTAAAAAGAAAATAAGATACTTTGTTTTCTCTTCCTTTTCAACCAAGAGCTTTTCTTCTCTGATGATGTGGGAAGAGAGTTAGAATGAAAATGGAGAACTAGGCAGGTGGAATTTACAGAGGAGATTCCGAGGTCTAAGTGAGATGCAAGGATAGGCCCCTAAACTCGGGGCAGCCCTGCCCAGCCTTGTGCCTCTGCCTGAGTTCAAGTGTCTCAATCCCAGAGACCCACTTTGGGAAATAAAAGCAAATTCTTTTTAATTTTTATATAAAGCGCAAATGCTTCTGTAACTATTATTCCCTCCTTTAGAGTGATTAGAGTAGCCTCACTAGGAACTCAGGAGGAAACTGGGACAAAATACAGACTCCTGTTGATATAAAAGCCATAAGTGAGACAGAATGGTTAGGAGACATTTGGGCCAGATGGCCTGGTTGGCTAAAGCTGCTGGCTAAGTTGGCAAAGCAGATAGGTAAACACATTTGGTCTAGGGACAAAAGAGACATGGATGAATGGGAAGAAACTGGCCAAACAGCACTTCCTGTTGGCAGTCAGTGAGCTGGGTGAATGGTAGGGCAGGGTAGCACCAACAGATTTCCCAGCCCTTGAGCCCCAGCTCAGGGCAGCAGTAACAGATAATCAGCAGTTATGAGGAGTCAACTCTTAGACTGGACCTTTCTCTAAATACCACATCTTGCCAGTCATAAAGGAAGGGTTATGGTTGCCTTTAAACTTGAGTCAGCAGGCAAGTCCTCTCAACACAGAGCACAATTCTCAGGGGAGGGTGGTGAAATCCACTAGTGAAGAAGAGGACTCCCTCCATTCAGGCAGGAGAGCAAAGGATCAGAAGAGAAGTCATTTTCTGTCAGGATCTGGCACCCTCCCTGAGCTGGTGGTGGATCTAGCTCAGAGCTTGCTAGAGATGCCTAGGTCCACTGCCCAAGACTCTGAAATCTGAAAGCACCTGAGTGTGTGGGGGACGGGCATAGGGTGGATTGATGTAAAAGGAGGAAAATGGGTAAAAAAGAAAGATAAGCTTGCCAATTGCCTTCTTACACTATGGGAAAGCTACATCATTGTAGAGCCCAGCCTCCCCACAATCAGCTATTCCACCAAGTATAGATCTTCAGACAGAAGCAGTGGTGGTGGCTGCCCAGCCAACAATCTCACTTGGCCTCTGCAGCTCACCCTGCCTGTAGACAGCTGCATGAGCACACATGCATGCACATGCACACATGCACACCGAGCCCGAGGAAACTTACTCAATACAATCATTTCTGGGACCATGCCCCAGGGCCCCTCAGAACTTCATGTTATTTCCTGGTCAAAGGTTCTTAAAAACAGCCTAGAAACCCAGGCAGGCATGTTAGGCTCATAAGAATCAGGTCTTATTTATCTCTGTATCTCCTATCAGTGACCAGCACCTGGCCTAGCACACATGAATGCTCAAGAAATTGCCACTGGTTTGAATGGGTATCAGTTCCTCCCAAGGGTTTATCAGGTGCCTTCAGTGGGGCTCTGTAGGCATGGAGAAATAGCATCAAAAGCCCCTCTACCTTCCAACCTGACCAGCGGAATTGAATCCCATGTTTGACTCCAAGTGGACTTTTTATTTCAAGGTGACCATTTAAGGGTTGAGGGAAAGAGACCCAAGTCTGTCTGTCTCCTTGGCTGAGACCCACTTGGATTTCCATACATGTTTCACATAACCACAAGCCCCCACTGGCTAATGTCACAAGAGTTCTGAGTGTTGGGATATAAAGAAAGAATAACAGTGAAAAGGTAGTGGGGTCTGTTTTATAAGGGAGGAGAATAATATTTCCCTCCTCCAAGAACCCTGGGGGTAGCTGGTCTGGTCATCTGACATTTACTGGTATTATTTCTGTTCTGACTCTGCATACTTGTGACTGGAAGGCGCCTGGTTAAGAGTTGGAAATGTGTTTTGCTCTGGTTTAGGGTCTTGCCCTCTTCCAAGAGACCAGCAAGTCTGTGCCAATGTCTGTGTGCTCCCAGACGACCAGCAAGACGATGCCAGTGTGTGTCCAGCCAACATGGGCCAGAGCCCTGGCCCTGGTGAGGTCTTTCCTAAGGCCCAGGAACTCTGCTCTGTGGTTGCCAACTTCTTCTCTTCAGTGGAGAGGGAGGATGGGGCCTTCCCAAGAGGCCTGAAGGACTGCCCACTCTTGGCACCAAGTCCAGGTACTTGATGGCCTCCAGCCATCTGTTTCACCTGCTTCACCAGGCCCAGTGCTTGGCTGGGAGGCCCTGGGATCTGCTCAGCTCCTGCAGGTGCTCTTCCTGCAGCCTGAGTTGCTGACTCATATAAAAAAGCCTTGGCAGGGGATGGAGAAAGAAGTCTGGCTTGGGTGAGTGATTTAACAGCTTGCCAGGGGTGCTCCAAGGGGGCCACGGCTTTTCCAGGAGGCTGAAGGACAGGCTCTGACACACTGCCTCTCTCCGCAGCTCGAGACATCTGCCCCAGACCTTTGCTGGCAAGCCATGAGCTGGACTCCAACACTGGCATCTTCTCATCAGCTTGTGGTGTGGCCTCATGAGGAGAAGCTGCCCGTTCTTTCTGGCGAGAAGTTAGGTCTATAAGATCCATCACCAAAGCAGCTCTGTTTTTTGACTGAGTATTCTGGTCCACGGGCCTCAGTGCTTTTTCTTTAGCTACCAGTGTCTGGACCACAGCTGATAGCACTTTGTCAGGAGGTGGGAATCTCTGGGTCAAAGAAGCATGGGATTTGTCTGGAGACCTGTCTGAAGTCTGGGGTTTGGGGCTGCTGGTGACGAGCAGTCTGTCTGATGGTGGAAGTCTCAGGACAGTAGGGACTGGGGTTTTCTCCAGTGACTGGGGCCTTGGGCTGGCAGCACCTATGGATTTATCCAGCCTTGGGTCAGCTGCCCCTAGAGGTCTTTCCAGTGGTTGGGACCTGACTGAGGGTGAAGAGCTTGGGCCGGTCACTGGAGAGGGTTTGTCAGATAGTTGGGTTCTTGGTCCTCCCACTGTAGATGGCCTGTCCAATGACTTCTGGCTGGATACCAAGGACTGGGGTTTGGCCCCTGACCCAGCAAGGGTCCTGACCCTTTCTACAGGCTGGGGCCTGGAGTCAGTTCTGTCAGGAGGTCTTTCAGGCGGCGGTGGCCTCTGACAAGTCCCTGCCAGAGTTTTTTTGGACAGTGACAATGTCTGGTTGGCTTCAGCAGGTGGCTTGTCCAACATCTTGGGCCCCTGAGCAGCTACTCCTGATGATTGTTGCTCTGCCAGGTGAGTGCTTGGGCCTGGAGTCAGTGGTACCGGGGGAGGCACATACTCACGGATCTCCCCAGGTTCCAAAGGGTTGGGCCCACAGGGGTCGTGCTCAGTACAAGACAGACGTCCATCCAGTTTGGAGATGAAGAGCATCCCTTCCCGATGCTGCTTGCAAAAGGAGCTAGGACACATCTCGCAGAAGGAGGCTGCTTCCTTCCCACAGATGTCACACTGATGCCAAGGACACTCCCATTTCCCTGAAACATAGATGTGAAACAAGAGCTTAGGAAAACAAGAGATGGGCGATGGCTCTGGAACCAGGTCAAAGGAGTGATTTCAAACTGCCCTGTTCTGCAGATAGCTCATGCTTCTCCAGCGCCAGGATCTCAGCTTCCTCTTCTGCACAACCGCATATAAAAATAACTGCCAGTATCAAGTAGCAACTAAGCATCAACTAAATATACAGGCAGGAGTAATTCCTTATTTCTATTATTTCTATTTCTAGCAAGGAATAAGAACCCAAAGCTCTCTTTACATCAAGCATGTCATACTAGTGGCCCAAGGGTCACATGCGACCCACAACAAATATTTTTGCGGCCCAGCCAATGTAACAGTATGTTAAGAAATGTTTTAATAAAAATTTCATAACTTAAATTTTTACAATATCCTTTTATACATAACTAGAGGCCCGGTGCACGAAATTTGTGCACTGGGCGGGGGGGGGGGGGGGGAGATTCCTCGGCCTGGCCTGCGCCCTTTCACAGTACGGGAGCCCTTGAGGGATGTCCGACTGACAGCTTAGGCCCACTCCCTGCCTAAGCCCACAGTTGAACATCCTTAGTGCTGCCACAGAGCAGGAGAGGTTCCCGCCACTGCCAATGCACTCACCAGCCATGAGCCCAGCTTCCGGCTGAGCAGCGCTCTCCCTATGGGAGCGCACTGATCACCGGGGATAGCTGCTGCATTGAGCATCTGCCCCCTGGTGGTAAGTGTGCATCATAGTGACTGGTCATTCAGTCGATTTGCATATTAGCCTTTTATTATATAGGATTATTAATAACGAACTACAACGTTTGTTAACGACTGATTACTATAATTGTGTTCCCTTACGTACCTTATGCTCAGGCGCAACATTTCACTCCACTAATACTAGCAGTGAATATTTTAGCAGCTGATTGCCACATCATTAGTCTTGTATTGACTTGTTGGGTGTGCGCAACAGGGAAATATTTTGCTTTCGGAGAACAAGAAAATAGGTTTATTTGTGTTACACTTATTAATTTGTGCAGTTATTCAGTGTCTGGTAAGTTAAAGTTCAAGAAAAAACCATTAATTTTTATTAAAATGTTCTATTATTTTATGTTAATGATTACTCATTTATTTCAGCCCTTTGTATTCAGCATGTTTCTATTGAAATAAACCTACGTTTCTATGAAAACTGAAGCTTTTGTTTTTTTGCGGCCCACATAAACTTAAACCTTGTTTATTTGGTCTGTGTTAGCCTTTGAGTTTGACATGCTTATCTTGGATAAAATATGAGGATATTACTTTCATATTTTGCAAACTCCTTTTGTCCTATACAGCCTTTAAATATTCTACTCTAGCACAACCAGCCTGGCTCAGTGATTGAGTGTCGACCTATGAACTAGGAGGTCAAGGTTTGATTCCCAGTCAGGGTACATTCTGGCTCAATCCCCAGTGAGGGGTGTGCAGGAGGCAGCAGATCAATGATTCTCATCATTGATGTTTCTATCTCTTTCTCTCCCCCTTCCTCTCTGAAGTCAATATATATATATATATGTATTTTTAAATATATATTTTATTGATTTTTTACAGAGAGGAAGGGAGAGAGATAGAGAGTTAGAAACATCGATGAGAGAGAAACTGATCAGCTGCCTCCTGCACATCTCCCACCGGGGATGTGCCCACAACCCAGGTACATGCCCTTGACCGGAATCGAACCTGGGACCCCTCAGTCCACAGGCTGACGCTCTATCCACTGAGCCAAACCGGTTTTGGCAAAAAAATATATTTTAAAATAAAAAATATTCAACTCTAAGGGGGACATTTCAGCTATTTAAACTCCTGCTTATTTGGTTATTAGTAGGAAGTGGGAGCAGATATACAAATGTGGGGAAAAAAAGAAAAAAAAGAAAGCAGACTTACCTTTGCTCAATTTTAAGTCTTGAAAGTAGCACAAACTTTATCTGTGTTGTCTACACAGAATCAATGGAAAAGACCCAAAGCTAACCTCAGGTGTATTTGTCTCCATGATAGCTGAGAGTCTCTGTCATGGACAGTGTTTCTTCCCCAGCTCCTTCCCAATAAACTATGCTGGCTAGACTTTGCTCCTGGCTCATAGGCCAGATCAGTTCTATCACAGCCTGTGCCAGCTCTGGCCATGAGTAATTGATTCTGAAACAATTTCCCATTTCCACTTCCTGGAAGTGTTAGGTCAATGTTATGGCCTGCCCCCAGACTATCTCATTTTCTATTATTTCAGTATCCTAGCAACCACATATTGAAGGACAAACTCCTCTCACTCCCACCCCATAGTTGTTCTTTCTGCAATTCCAGGAAACAGGCCACTAGTGATGTATAATCTTCTCACCTAGAATGGCTTTCCACTGGTTTCTTATCTTTGTAATTTAAAATAGATGGCAGGTCCAAATCCCTAAAATCCGCTAATTCCAAATCACCACCCAAAGGTTAGTGGGCTTCTCCAACCACAAATTTCCGGGTACCACATCTGCATAAGCAGTTTTCTCATCTAACTTACACATCTGCATCTCCTTCAGAGGGAAGTGTGGTAATGAGGTCTAAAAGGGTGTCAGTCCACACCTCACTGATTAGAATGATCTGAAGCTCCACTCTGTCTCAACTGCTCTTTCTTTAGACGGAATATGTTTTAGTAAACTTGAGGTCAGATGTGGAGAGCGGCTGCAGCGTTTGGACAGGTTCAAGCCTCGGACTGACGAGAGGGCACAGTCCTCTTGTGGCAAAGCCACATATAAGTCCCAGCTTGGAGGGCAAAGCCCTCCCAGCACAATTATAACCAAAGGCTATGGTTGTATATAAGCTTAACCTTATAGTCCAAAACTGTAGTCCTACTGACATCCCTACTGTAGCTGAGGGATGTGGGCTGGGGGAGGTGCAGCAAGTGCTGCCAAAACAAAGCTTGATAGAGTTCAAAGAATTGCAACAACAGGAAAGAAGTAGATTTGGAACTCACAAGAACATTGTAAACATCTTGACTACTCCCTTGTTTTGCTTTCTGTGATCTGACTATAAAATAAAGATTTGGCTTACAGGTTGTGTCACTGTCCTCATCCAGGCGCAGTGATCCACCTGGCCCCAACTATATTCTCTTGTCTGTTTTCTTTAATCCTTCACCGCCCTCCTCAGGTTCACCACTGGCTGTGCTGGATGCGGTTCAGTTAGAAAACCTGGCTTTCAATCCAGCTCCTACATCTATATGTTCTAATGAGATAAATCATCTCACCAAACTTGATTCTGAGTTTCCTTATCTATATCATGGGAAGGTGAAAAGGTCTCATCTTTATGGGTTGTTAGGATAAAATAACATAACAGAAATATAAATAAAATAAAACACTTGATACATAGCAAGTGAATTTCTGTTCCCTTCTCTACAACATAGGGTTCTAAGCCTTTGTTATTTACTCCAAGAGTAAGAACATGGACCCAAATCCCCTCAATACTATGCATGGGATGCATGGGAAGACCGAAGGGCTTTGAGAAT